GGTTAACCTAAAGAACTTATAGAGTTCAGCTGCTCAGACCGTTCGCTAGCAACAGTGTGGAGTCTGACATTGTCAACCTGCTGATCACGTATTCTGACAGCTTGTTCAGGTCGACAACAAGAAATCTATGTCGCGCTTGAGAAAGCGAGGGGTCGCACAGTGATCCTATTTGTCATCTGCGATGTTCGTCTCTTATGCATGTTGTGATGTCACCCGTCGGATGTTATCACCACATGCAAGAAGCACTCTGATGATGTTGCTCGATTGGCATCCGCACAGACCAGAACTAAGTAACTGCGTTTCTTCATCTTCATTCAAGATGTAGGAGACTGAATGAGCGACAGTGCCTTAACGCTTAATCCAAAGAAATCAGCTGACTGTAATTTCCATTGAGCAAGGCTTGCACGCATGATCTGTACGAAACTTGTTTTTACCGATTGTCCAGTTCAGCGATCACTTGCTTGACAAAAAGCCTCGGAGTAAAGTGATCGGTTTCGTCGTTGTGCATATTGAGGAGATTTTGCGTTGGTTCAGAAGTATGTTTAAAGACCACATAATGATACATTCTACCACTCTTCCTCTATGCTGCAGTTTACGGAAATAACTGGCTCATATTCAAAGTTTTTTTCTAACTATGGCATTGACTGATTTGATCCATCCTGGGCAGATGCGCGAGAAAAAAAGCGGTTGATATTCTAATGGTTTCTGTTCAAATAGTCCCAACCCACCTGCTGTACCGGTGTTTGCAATAGTCGGCATTTTAAAGCTTCCAGGCACAAGATCCGCATACTTTTCTTACAGATGTCGGACTCAGGCTTACAGAAGGCTAGTTGTTCCGTTCGCTGTTTGACGTCTGTTCGATCCCATGAAAAAATTGTCATTTTTTACCGCGTTCTGATGAGCCTGCTATGAATTCACTTTCACTGTTGGTTTTATTGTTTAGTACTTGTTCATTGTTAATTCCAGGTTTAAAGCAACTTATCGTGTGCATTAAGATCCATTTAACTGAATTTCTGTAACTGACTGAATGAATGATATGGTTTATATATTCGACAAAGTCAGCTACGTATGAAAATTTTTCAAACGCATGTTTTCATTGAAATATGCTGCCTTTAGTTTTAACTCCCGTCGTAACCCCTTGAAATTTTTATATTTCGTATTAAGTTTTTGCATT